TTAAAGTTATTTTTTAATTTATGAGTACAAGGAGAATAATGAAACCAGAAGGGAATTCCACAAACGAGAAGTGCGAAAAAAATGTTAGTGTAGAACTTACGGCTACATCTAACCAACTCAACTGTAAATTGATGAGACCTTGTTGCCAGTCTGATACTGTGCTTAAATTCATAATTGTCTCGGTGTCATAGTGAAAATCTCATCTGAACAATTACCATGAAACTATTTACTAGGCACAAGAAAGCAACCTTATAGCAGTGGGAAAGGGACTAAAGCTGAGCTGCCAAATCAGGACCGATAATATTGCTGATTCTTCTTTGGATTTTATCAAGGAGCTCAAGGTAAATAGGAGGAACACTGAACCATATGTGGCAGCAATATTCTAAACATGGACAAGTGGTGGAGTTTCAGATATGTAAGATAAATTCCAGAGAGAATAATCGTTTTGTATGATACAGTGAACTGACTTTCTTAGCAGCTAACCTAGCCATGGATTCAATATAGTTTTTCCATTTCTTATCAGTTGAGAACATTAGCTCAAGAAGTCATTACTAGTCACTTTTCTGGAGGTTAGCATCAGCCATGCTAATAGAAGGCAGAGAAGGATCTCTCAAATGATTACATGTGCTACCAAATTTTTTTATTGATGTTGCTGTTGGGAGTTTCGTAAGTGATGTGGTTTCTGTTATTTCGTAATGTTCTTTGTTTGTGATTCTATAGCACCAGTCTATAAGATCTGATGAAGAATTGTCTTCTCTAAGACCTAAAGGATTCCATTTTTAATCATTGATCTGATGAAACAGTTGTATGTTTCTGAACAAGTTGGATGCCATGTATGACATCTAATATGAGAGTCTAGGTCTGATGAACTTAATTAAGAACACAAATTGACTACCACAAAAATAAAGAATATCTTGTTTGGTTCAAGTCTATAATCATAGCAGGGTAATATCAAATAATTTTTTCTTTATTTATGCCTAACATTTGAATATTAACTTGTGAAGAAAACTATGCTTATTTTATTGTTGAATAAAATTATCATATATATTTTTTCCTTGTTCATGTTCAGTTCATGGTATTCTCAGCATCCTTCTCTAGAACCAAATTTCTATTACCTCAAGCCTCTTCTTCATCGTTGAGGAAATTGTCCAGCATTCACAGCCATATAGGAGGACTGATATTACATAACAGTTTAGCACTCTTTTTTTTGTTTCTAACAAAATTTTCCTGCTTAGCTTTTGAAAGGCATCTTTCACTATTCTAATATTTCTTCACATTTTAGTGTCAAATTTTACGTCCTCTGTTAAAACATATCCCAGGTATATAAAATTTCATACTTCTTTGGTTTTGGCATCTCCAATTTGTAGTTTCCATCTTGAGCTGCTCATCCTGCTGATAACCAAACATTCTTTCTTATAATTGATTATTAATCCTTTTTCTTGCTTTCTTTTACTACCTGCTGCAGGAATTCTTGCAGTTTTCTATGTTTGCTATTACCACCATATCATCTGCATATCTTATGTTGTTAAGATTGTGTACTCCAATAATAAATCCTGGTAGAACTTCTAGTTCTCTCAAGATTGATTCACTGTAAAATTTGAATAAATCTGGTAAGAAGACACATCCTTGTCTTATGCCCTCTTCTATTTTTGGATATTTACTGAAATCAACCAATAGAAAATGTTCATATATTTCAGAACCTTTTCTTTTTTTTGTTTTAAATGCTATGTCTCTTTGAGAAATAGGTGATCATGGCTCTCCACAGGCTGCTTTTGTGACTTGCAATGATTTTTTTTATGAATGTTCACTCAATACAAATCTTAAGAGCCAATCAAGATAGAGGATTACTAAATGAGGTGTGTGATATGAATGTAAGAGTTGAAATAGAAAGTAAGGATTATGTAAATAGATAGATAACAATTGATCCTTGACTTGAAAAGGTTAAGATTGTAGCATTTGGGGAAGCATCCATGTGGGAGTCTGTTCTAAAAATCAAAGTTTTTTGGGGGAAAAATGTTTGAGTGAAACTTTCATCTAGCACTTGGAATGTGGAAGAAACGAGGGTGGTTTGACTCTTGAGTTATAGTATGGTTGGTCTTAACTATAAAAGTTTCAATTGGTAGAACTTAAGAATGTAGCTCATCTGGACATTTGCATTGGGAAATAATGATAGATTAGCAACAGGCTTGCGATTTTCCATCTGTAGGGAAAGAGGCTGTAGGGCAGAAAGAAAGTCATCCCCTACATCAATGTGTAAACGCTTTTGAATGCTATCAAGACTGGAAAATGAAGATTGGATAGCTCCAGCTCAACAATAGATGGATAGAGAGAGAGAGAGAGAGAGAGAAGGATCTGTAATGAGATGGATAGATATGAACAGACTGAAATAGATAGATCTCTGTAATGAGATAGATAAATAGGTAGATATGAATAGGTAGATATCTAGAGCTAAATACACTGAGATAGATAGATAGATAATGAAAAGGTATAGATAGATAGATAGATAGGAGGAATCAGGTACTGGAGAGGTAGAATGAACCAACTATTTTTCTAGCATCTTTCGAGTGGATGAGCTTCAGCTGAGTCCCAGCAGGCATTCAATAGAGAGCAGCTGTTTATATTAACTGGAAAAACATCATAGTCTGGTGATGGTGAAATGATAGTAGCTTAGTTTTTGAGATACTGAATATTACAAACCGCTTTTTTTTCCTCTTGTGTTTTGGAAACGATAATGGAGTAGTTTCTCATTGCCTTCTACGCAGTTTGGAATTCATAGTAGTCCTTCTCCTAGACTGGCTGCCATCTAAGGCTAGAGAGCCCTGTCTACTATGCTATTTAACCCACAACTGGAGAGAGAAATGGATTCATACCTTTCCTAAAAGCATTAGTACAAAAGTGAATGGAACAGACAAGGCCAGAATTTGAATTTGGTCCACTGATTCCCCTATCTGGATTGATAGCCCTTACACTGTCTTGGTTAAATTAAAATGATTTAAAAGGAGACAAAACACAGTTGCATTTCAATTTAGAATTTAGAGTCTTCTATACACACTGAGAAACCTGTACTTTTGAAATAAATTAAATTAGAAAGTGATTTGATTTGTGATTTTTTTTTAATGACTTATTGACCCTTTGTAGGTTTTTTAAAGCTGAAACACATTTTGAATTGTAAAAATTTTTTGTCATTATTTTTGTTACAAGTGAACATGGCATTCACAATTTTTGGTGATAACAATGACTTTTCCAGATACAAGTAAATTAAAAAAGACTACAGATTCTAAAATGTAACTGTATTCAAACATTCATATATAAACCACAGCTGTTTAAAACCCTCATTTTTGTCATATAGGAAAATCCAACATGGTGCGTAAACGAAATATTCAGCAAAAAATGCCATTCATCAGTAACATTTTAAACCCCTCATAGAATGTAAAGTTCTTAAAGCAAACCTGTGCCAAACTGTTTTCCTGAATCCTTGATGACTTGGCTGTCTGAAAATGACAACATCAAGATGAAATAATGGAAACTGACCATGAAAAATACAATTACACGCAACAAGTTTTTGATCAATCAGTAAACTTCTGGACCTTTTCGTTATAGGATCCAGATGGCTATTGTTTGCACATGGAATTATTCACTGGTAATTAATCTTCGATCTGGCTGTGGAAAATGCCACTTGGCAGTTAGCATTAAGAAATTATGTTCAATTTTCTGAGAAAAATCACCTTTTTTTTTATGAAAAAATATTTATTTTCACTTCAAAATAATATCTTTCAAACTTTATCCCTTTTTCCTTAATTTGGTGTGAACATCATTGAATAAAAGGAATGGCTAAAGGGCCCAGTGATGGGAAATATGAAATACATGCGGTGAAAAAAACAATGTCGTCTGCTAGGTGTTGTTTTCATCACCCGGGTCACATAGTGTTAAAAACAAAACAAAACACATCAAGCCATTGTTCAAAAAAAAAAAACAAACCTTATATCAAGCCCTACCAATGTTGACCCTTTTTTTTTCACTCTTTGCTCTTATCTGGGAGTGGTGGGTTTTATTACAAGCTGATGACAACTTGTTCTTAACATTTATTGCTGGCTGACTGACCTTTGACCTAGACATGTCAAAGTCAATTTGGCTTAATTTTCCTTATCGCTGCTATTTTTTGTAAAAAAAAAAACAAAAACTTTTGGTTTCTGATGGTCAGTAATTGCAGATAAATCTTTCGCCTTTTATAAAGATTTCCGTGGCCGGGTGTCAATTTATTTAACCCCTGGCAGTCATATAATTAAAAATTACCAATAGACTTTGTCACATTTTGACCCCCTAGGAATTTTGATTTCCTTCAAAACTCTCAATTTTATGCTTGAAATAGTTTGATTATGATTTAGGCTTTCTGATTTTCCAAAAAAATGGTTAATTTCCCATTAATGGGAAAAGTTTTTGTTTAGAACTAGAAAAAATGCAAAATTTTTACTATTATTTCACATTTTACCCCCGGAAAAAAAATTTTGAGTCATTTACACCAGCCAATTTTACTTTTAAATAAAAGAATATATCTTTTGCTTTAAGAAAATATCTAGTTTCATGGGGTTCAGATCAAAAGTTTCCTTGATATTTGTTTAGATGATGATAAAACAGTCATTTTTCAATATTTTACCCCTATAAAAATATGAAAATCCATTTTTTCAGAGAAAATAAGCTATGACAAAATGGCTTTTGCCATTTTTTTGATGATTTTTACTTGGGATAGAAAATTTTTACCATAGCAAACCTGAATTGACTTTATTTAAGTTTAGTCAGGCTATAGGAAACCTCAAACAGCTGTGAAACCTATTTCTAAGGATATTTCTTGCTTTATCGAAATGTTCCTGGATATTCTGACCTACATATAAAGAATTTTTATTTGCTCTGGCATACATGCACTCAGTAACATAGAAAACCAAACTTATTAAATAAACAAAATATAAAGAAATAAACTTGATTGATTTTTATGTATTTTTCAGGAATTGATTCCCATTAAGATGACAAAAGCTGCTATTTTGAGGGAAGGCCAACTCCATTTAAAGAGAGAGGAAGCGGAGATACAGAAGTAAGAAATAATAATTATTAGAACAATCTTACATATGATCATTTCTATGTATATACAATCGTATTGGTACTGAAAAATAATTATAGTGAGAAGTATTTATTTTAATATGTATAAACATATAAAATGAAATAGATATGAACAGACTGAGATTGATAGATAGATATGAATAGATAGATTGATATGAATAGACTGAGATAGATAGATAGGAATAGATAGATTGATATGAATAGACAGAGATAGATAGATATGAACAGACAGAAATACAGATTGCAATGGTTAAATTGTTGCCATTTTATATATTTAATTTCACGCATGTGCATTGTTTGTTTTTGATTTTGTCAACTGCACAGCATGGTATGAACAGTTGGACATTGTCTGTGAGAAAAAGAGCACCATGATACGATTCACCCTGCCAGAAATATAGAAACATCATGCAGAACTGCTTGACATTCATGCCAGAATACAAACATTTCAGTGTGTTTGGATGTCAATCTGAGGAGAGTGCAGAGGATTCAGAAAGAGTTGGAAGAATCTAATGGTGATTACAAAGGTACAACAGCTTGAAAACCTCACTCTGATTGTTCTGATAAGAAAAGAACTCCCAAATTTGCTCGTGAGGATCTCAGACTGAACATGGCTGTCAGACAATTTCTGTGACCATATCACTCCTTATATCTAGCCACCTAACTCCCCAGAGTGCAACCCCCTTGATTATTATGTGTGGGGCACAGTTGAGCAAGAGACCAACAAAACTTATAGCACCAAAGATGAACTGAAGGCATTTTCTATGGTGGCATTCACCAACTTAAAAAGGAGACTGCCCAGAAGAGTTGCAGGAGATTCCAAAGTCATCTGTTGCTCATGGTTGAAGCCAATGGTGATTTTGTTGAATACATTTACTCTTTAGTATTTCGAGATATTTTTGTGTAATTTTGGTAAATATATCTGTAAAAATGAGATGTCAGTGTTATTTTCATTTTTGCATAATTTGGACAACAATTTATCCATCACACCCTGTATGTGTGTGTGTATAGATAGATAGAGATGAACAGACTGAAATATATATATATATCTAGAGAGAGAGATAAACAGAGTGAGATAGATATGAAAATACTGAAATAGATAAATAGATAGTAAGGATATAGAAATCAACACTAGTTTACTCTTCCTTGTGTTGGCTAATCATCTCTTTATTTTTATTTATTTTTTATAATTTCTACATTTCTAAATTTTGGTATTTTATTTGATCTTGATTATTAATTAGTTTTTTAAGTTGTAATGTGATTGTAGGTAGTGTAATAGGAATTTATTTTTGTTTTTGTGTATGTATTTAAAGATGAGCTCTGACCTATTGTTTAAGAGTTTGTTAGGCTGGAGTAATTTTGATCTGAAAAAATTTTCAATGTATAATGTTTGATCTATTGCTGTATCATTGTATATAAATACACATTTTTACTTTTGAAAATGCATACATTTAAGCAGACTCAAAAAATGTATGTATAATGAAAAATAGATATTTCACTATACATGAACCAAAATGCATATTTTATAACACTAGTATACTTACTCATATATATATATATATATATATATATATATATATATATATAAGGGTTATGACTTTTTCTAACCCTATGTTCTTGTGTCATAAATTGATGAACTTTTGTTCAAAAGTAATGAAAAACGCACTAATTTGTTTTAGTTCTTAAAAAAAGTTATCCCCCCCCAACTGAAAATTTGATTTTATCATAAGTATAATAAGGGTAAAAAATCTAAATATTTCAGAAGCTTTATTTTTCAATTTGCTAATGATGACATTGGATGGTACTTATGTATTTTTAACACATTTAACCATTTATAGCCATAACATAACATAAAAATAAATAAACAAAAACAATTTCTAGTAGGTTTTATAAAGTTCTAGAAGACTCCAGAAAGTCATAGTATGACTATACTTATATACCATTTTAGAAATTTTATATTGGGGATGACATATTTTTAAATAAATTGAATTAAAACTTTCTTCATTATTTTTGAACAACTGTTCATCGAATTATAATACAGGAAATCAATTCATAACCCTAATAATATATATATATATATATATATATATATATATATATATATATATGCAGATATCTAGAAAAATAGGAAAGAACCCGTTAGGTAAATAATCTGGAGTTCTTTAGTATTTTTGTTTTTATTTTTAAAAAACAGTGCTCCATACAGAAGTAGAGCTTAAATTATAATTATTTTTTTAAAAATATGATTCCTTCACTACATAAGAGTTCTCATGTTTCAAAAACGAGAGCCGAACATGTTGAACAACCCTAACCCTACCTACCTTACAGAAAACCTAACACTAATCCCTTGTATGTACACCCTAAGTCAAACCACCCTCCATCTATAATTAAGCATATACCCACATCAATAGGGAAAAGAATCAGCATGAACTCCATTAATAAAGAAATGTTGGAATATTTCCTTATTAATGGAGTTCATGCTGATTCTGATTCACAGTAATTTTTATAACACGGCCCTAAAAAACAGCAGATACAAAAACGCTAACATAAATTATAGAAACAATAATACTAACCAGAAGAAAAACAGGAAAAGGAAAATCATTTGGTATACCCCTCCATTCAACCAAATGGTTAGTATTAAGCTAGGATATAAGTTCCTAGCTTTAATTGAAAAACACTTTCCGACTAATAGCATACTTAGCAAGATCTTTAATAAAAACACCTTAAAATTAAGTTACAGTTGCACTGAAAATCTAGAAAGAATCATAAAAACCATAATAATAAAATCCTGGAAAAACATGCATGCCAAAATAGTATTAATAAAAATCCTAAACTAAAATTAGACAAAAATAATGAAATATTTTGTGATTGTAGAAACCCTGAAGACTGCCAGTTGGAAAATAAATGCCACACAAAATGTGTGGTATACCAATGCACTATCTTATCCATTGAGAATCCTAACACTGATAGGATATACATTAATTCAACGAAGAATGAATTTAAAATCAGATGGAGACCACACAAAAGCTCCTTCAATAATATTAGAAATAGAAATCAGACATCTCTATCCAAATATTTTTGGCATTTAAAGTAAATGAATAAAACACCAAAAGTAAAATGGAAAATAATAAATAGAACAAGAACTTGTAAAACTTGGGACAACCCATGCCCTTTATGCCTACATGAAAAACTAAACACTATTAAGTTTCTAAATAATGAAAATTTATTAAACCATAGACATGAGTTAATAGTTTTCTGCCGACATCAACAAATTTTCGCATTAAATAATTAGCATTAAAAAAAATAACTTCATAGTCTAATAAAAGGTTTAAAAGCTTAATCCAAACTACAAAATGAAAAAAATCTTTATGAAGTCATCAAAAAAACAAATTGTAGTTCAGTGCGACACGTTTAAGTATGAAACAGCTCTTTGAAAAAAAAAAAAAATTAAATAAATAAATAAAATAAAACAAAATAAATAATAAATAAATAAATAAAATAAATAAATAAAATAAAACAAAATCCTCTGGACACTTCACGACATATTATGGTACCAAAATTAATCTTTCGCTGTGACTGACCAGATGATGTATGCACATGAATATCATCATTTGCTTTGAAATGGATGCCCCCACCCTACCTCAGCTTGACCTCTTTCCGAAGGTGACTGATATGTGGATAAAAATTATCTCTTAGACCCCTTACCAAAATGGTCACCCCAGCCATTTCCATAGTAATTAATTTTGCGAATGAACATGCTTATAAAGATGCATAAATTTCAAGATTGGTTATTCCTAAATTTTCACTTGAGGATGAAACAGGGCTTGATACTTTAACTCAATTTAATTTTAATAATTATATTGAGGTTTTTGGCTCTGGTTTTTGAAACATGAGAACTCTTATGTAGCAAAGAAATCATATTTTTTTTTTAAAATAATTATAATAGTCAACCACAGACAGACTGTTTTGCTGTTTCGGAGCTCATCAGTGTGACTAGACATCCAATTGCCTCAAGCCAGGATCGAAACCCAACTGATTTGGTATCAGTTGGCGAATCTACCCCTAAGCCATTGGCACATGGCAGGGATGAAGGTGAATTTAAACATATTTTTTTTAGATAAACAAGCCAGTGACTGGGAGAACTTGATTCATTTTATCAAATAGTCTTGCATTAGCAGCAGTAATAGTCACTATTTATAAATTCACTTTTCCCTCCCAAGAGTTCAACTGAAATAAATTTTTTTTCAGGAACATATATATATTGTCATCCACAGACAGACTGTTTTGCTGTTTCATAGCTCATCAGTGTGACTAGACATATGATTGCCTCAAGCCAGGATCGAAATCCAACTGATATATGTATGTATTAGTTGTATGGTTATGAGTTTTTACCCTGGGTTTCACACTTTTACAATCATCAGACAAAAGTTTGTCTGATGATCACAAAAGTGTGAAACCCAGGGTCACAAACTCATAACCATACAACTGAATATGTTAGCTCTATCACTGATATTGAGCACTTTCCAATAAGTACTGCACATATAAAATATATATATATATATATATATATATATATATAAGGAGGGGAATGATCCCAGCATGCAGTAACTTTGGAAAGTGCCTAAAAACCATGCTAGAGGTTGACCCAAGCCTTGTGAGTGAAATTGGGTAGATGTACACTTTGGGGACAGTCAATAGCTGTGCTAACACAAGTCACAAATCACCATGATTGAGGGTTTGAGTGTGCTGGCCTTGTTCAGATTGTTGATCACGCTAGATAACACACTCTATTCCCAGAAACTGTAACTAAGGTCTGCTCAGCATAGTTGCAGTATAAACTACAGGTGGGTCCTGTGTGTGTTGAACAAACACAAAATGTGCCTGAGTGAGCATCTGAATTAGGGATTGGGTAGCCATCCTAGTATACAGGTATCCTCAAATACGAGTGGCCAACTATTACTATTTATATATATATAT